TTCAATTGATTCATGATCTCAACTATTGAAATTACTATGATCTTTACAAAACTCCTTACGATACTAATCAACATATGCTCATTAGTGTCTGGCTTCAAGATGTATATCCTGTAGTTCAAGTGAGAAGCAGTGATCAGTGCAGCTCAAACGGGTTTGTTGGGAGATAGTAACACATTGACGACAATGGTGGATATGTGGCTCAGTTTCGTGAATTAGTTGAAGTTAGACATTAACACCGTTGGATGTCGGTCATCTCAGTGGTCTAGACGTTAAGCGTTGTCGCGTGAGACTGATAGGTTGTGGGTTCGAACCTCGTGAACTGGGATTGTGGATAGGAATTTCTGAGGAGTCCCATATTAGGACGAAACGGCCGTGCAGTGGTTGCAAGTTTTCCATGGTGGTTTAGCTTCAATTGACTCATGATCTCAACCATTGAAATTAAGTATTATAATTATTATTTAAGGTAGTTATCATTGTTTAATACATTTTGAAGTTAGTTATCATTAAAAAAACTGATGTCAGTTATAGTTTTATTGATATACACAATGTTTTGATCATATTGTCCGTTATATTTAAGAGAAAAATTGATAAATTTTGATTACTGTTATATACATAATTAGTAATATAATCAGATAATTCTAATAGATGTGCAAGGTTGTTTATGTTAATTTTCTGTTGCTTTCCTAAATATTCAGCTTCAAGTAAATTGATATGAAATGGTTGAAGTTAATCTGTTCACAGTCAAGAATTTTAGATTTTGTGTAAGTTGTATCTGAAATTTAAAGTAAACTGAAGTTTCCTGTGAAAATCAAACTCTTGGCATTTGGAATGAATTAGTTCCAAGGTTCAGTATAGAAGATAGCCAACAGATTTCTTAGTGTGATAGTTTAAACTAAACTACAAGACAGCCTCAGTCATATTTTAAGGAATAAAGATTGTACAAAATATTGTTTTATTCATTTTAAAAAGGAAATACACTCGTAACTTATAATCTCCTACTCACCAGCATACGGAATGCATTTTCTTGAATAAAATGCTTTTTTTCAACAACTTGTTAGGATGCTCTTAGAGCACCCTCATCTATACCTGACTTTGTAAACACTTAAATCTGTTAAGTCCTTTGATTTATTAGATAGGTAACATCTCGTCTGTATCTCCACTCTATTACTCACAGGAATCTATGATTATTTATTCTTGAGAATGTGTTACAACCCGTTCATATATTACTCTTACTAGCTTCAATGTTAGTTACTTAAATCACTCGATGACTCATCCGCTTGCTTATGTACATGTACATCTTAAATCCTATTCATTTAATTATTCGCATCATTCGCCTTCATTCTCATTTTGTTTGTATTCGCTTCGTATTTTTGGTGGTCTTGTGACCTGTGCTGTATTGTATTCATCACGTCGTATTGTCTTCTGAAAGTTATGTGCCATCGTTAATTATCTAATAGCGGTTATTCGGATGGATGTTATATCAGACATAGAAATTAGCTCATAGAAATACTACTTCACTGTCTATTGGTAAATAATCAGTTAGAGACAATTGCGAATAAAACACTAGTTTAATACATACTCTAATCCAATATTATAATGGATTTTGATGCTACAAATAGAAAACAGAAATTTAAAGCAATTAGTCCCTTTTATAAATTTCGATAGAACAATGAGAAGACGGAGTTTATCTGAAAAATGTGATGTATTTGGTCACACATACACTTGTCAAGGTATTTTTATATGAAAATTAATAAAGGTCAATTAAATGAAAGTTCAAGTAGAATAACAAAGGGGAGAGAAAACTATTGTCGCGTTATCCTAGGCCATAGAATGACTTAAGGATTACCAGGGTAAATTCAAGTTTACGGCCAATTGTTTTTGTTCACATAAGGGAGGGGGGTTAAATTTATGAATAGCCAAGGCTTCAATAAACTTGAGAAATGGTCTATGACAATTTGTATACAACGTTTTAAAAGCTGTATTAATGTCAATTTTGTGCTACATTTCAATTTTATGTTTCGTTATCGATTAACATGGTTTTTTACCTCGCATTTTGTTCGGATCATTTGACACTAATTGGTTTTGAAGCCATCTAGGCACACGTTCAATGATCTTTGATTACATTGTTCGATTACTCCGCCCTATGTATGTGTGTCCACACAAACATGTGAATAGGTAAATAAAATGGGATGTGGCGTAATCATTTGTGCATTGTCTAGGTCTATTTGGAATCAAGGGCTTAAGCTTTTCAATCACAACCAATTAAGGAGCATAACAGGTTTTCTCGATGGCTGCTTTCAATCTCTGTCTTAAAACTATATTATTGAATTCACCTCTATATGGTAGATGGATATAAACATTTTTCTTCGGAACCGAATAAACACGATGGCGTTAGCTGACTTTTGCACCTATTAATGAACTTTGGTGGATAACATTCGATATTAATGTGTCAGTCAGTATCTTTTCATCTTTTTCCAACGTGTCAGAAGTACAAATTCTGAGTCCTCTTAAAGAGACACTTAACCAGGTCTCGCTTGTATTACAATGAACAGAAACTATGGAAATTTAAGTACTGTCCCGTCCAAGTTGGTTTCCTATACACTGACCGTCTAAAACAGAAAACCGAATTGTCAATCTTAACCTCGTTTGGTCATTAATAATATGACTATGAACACAAGATATATGTTCAACAATAGCTCATATTACTTAATTGAGGAAAGAACAATTAAATGACTGAAATGTCAAGTTAATTTACTGAAACTCTAAATCATGAAACAATAATACAAAGAATGTATGATAATTTGCTTTATTAAAGTTTACAAAAATTTACCATAACTGTTAAAAGATTTATTAAACACTTAAGAATAATGTGCTATCCGGCATGAAAATAAAGTGAAACGATGTGACCAATTTATTCGGTACAATGATCATGTAAGTTTTGTTTTCTATAAAATGTAATAGTAACATAACCTCGAGTATTTTGGAGACTACGGCAGAAGTAAGAAGTAACATGTTATCTATAAATATTTTGATGATGATCATTATCTATCGTATCCAACACTTAGACAAGGGCAATATATAAGTTGGATCCGTAGTTAATGAATTTGTAGTCTTCCGACTGATATTTTAGAAAGCTAGTATGTATAGCATTTGTAGTAATTATTATGATTAAAAGAGAGTTGTCTAATGTAGTAATATAATTATAAATATGTATGTCACATTAGTGGTAACCATTACGCTCCATAACTTAGAAGCAAATACGTTTAATATGATGGTTTAGTGTCCTTAAATTATGGATTAAGTGATCAGAAGTATGTAATTGCTATTCATTGTCACTAGGCGCAATCACAAAGTAGTAAAAATAGAACTTTGCTTTATCTTGTTGAACTCGTAATGACAATGGTTGATGAAAGTATTAAATATCACTTAGATTGTAAAGAGAATCTAAAAATTAACTTCAAATTGCATGGTACCTCAGTCAAGAAAATTGTAATTTTTGAAAAAAGTTATTTCGAAACCATATGTAGTCAGTGGTAAATTATGATCTCCCGTGAAGGTACTATAATCTCCACAAATTCTCATACTGATTATATATTCGTATTGATCATGTATCTATTCAAATGATACAGTTTTTACATTCTGTAAATCAGTCATCTAATCCTGTTAGTATGGCACATATTTAATGTGAATTGTTTCCTTCCATTTAACATTTCTAATTTATATGCTTGTATAAAAAGAATAACTGATTTCCTCTCCTTTATTTTGTATTCATAAAGAATATATATTTTAAATAGATTTACATTTTTTTAGAGTATTAAAACAATTAGTCTCTTTGATAAATTTCCATAATGCAATGAGAAGACGAATTATATCAGAATTATGTGATATGCTTGAGCAATACATCTCGAACAATCTGATCACACGTAATGTACTTGTTAAGACATCTTTATATGAAAATTAAAGGACAACTAAAGAGGTTAAAGGTAAGCCATAGCAAACTACACAAAAACAATGTGATCACCATTCTGGATAATAAATCAGTATTACCAGAGTAGGTTAAGTGTAAGGACAAATTGTTTTTGAACGCATAAACGGGGGTTTCAATTCCGTATAGGCAAGGTTTCAATAAACCTTAGTATACGTTCTTGAAGGCTTTTGTATAACACTACAAATGCTGATTTGATGTCAACCTTATGAGCAGTCTCAATCAAATGTTTTGCAATGGAGGATGATGTCTGTCTACCCTGTGATCTTATTTGACCATTGGAATCTATTTGTTTCTGAAGCCATTTCGGTATGTGTTCACCCACTCTTAATTGCAAATCACGCTTACTCCTCCCTATGTATGTGTTTCCACACATACATGTAAATTGATAGACACAATAAATTCACTTGATGTTATTTTTTTACTTGTATCTTCCCATTGTTATTTAAGACTACGATTGATCAGTCTCGTGTTGAAATATATGCATCCTCTGTGGATTGTCGTGATATAACCTTAGACACAATGTTTTACCAAGCATATTATGTATGATCAGATTGTTCGAAATGTATTGCACAAATAGATCACATAATTCTGATAAACTTTGTCTTCTCATTGAATGATTATCGAAATTTAGAATATTAATTAAATAATGATAAATAATAGATCTAAACTATTTACTTTAATTAAATATAAAAATTACTAATAATCACTAAGAAGATTACTATAAGAAATATACATTTATTATATTCATATACATTTGTTTTATACAAATTAAATAACATGTTTTGTTTTTCCTCTTTTTTTTCTTTTTTCTTTTTTCTCTTTTTTTAATAAAATCAATAACATAAAGAATAAAAAGTTGTGATAAACATTGAAATTAATTTTCTTTTTTGAATAGATTTGCAGATTTCAATTTCATTGTAATTTTATGAATATTAAAATCATATATGGAAGACATAATTATTATTATATATATATATATATATAGTGTGTGTGTGTGTTTATCCTGTACAAATTATATAGAGTTTTGATTTGTTGCATATTGTATTAAATTTTCCTTTAAAAGTAATAATTCTTTACGATGATTATCAACTAATGATGTCTAATTGAATGAAATATGAAAAAGTAAAGCAATAAGATAATGTTAATGAAATTATAAGAGAAATGTATAGTTTATATGAATGTATTTAGTTTATCATTTAAGGGGTTGTGGAGATTGTTAAGTTTTTGATTGAAATCATGAGTCAATTGAAGCTAGACCATCATGGAAAACCTGGAAGCACTGGGGGGCCGGTTCGTCCTAGTATAGGACTCATCAGCAGTGCGCATCCACGATCCAGCATCCCGCAAGATTCGAACCCAGGACATATCAGTCTCGCGCCAGGCGCTTAACCTACTGGACCACTGAGCCGGCATCCAATGGTGTTAATGTCTAATATCAACCAATCCACGAAGTTGTGCAACCACCTTCCATTGTACTGAGGTAGACACCTGTTTCTACCCGACACGGATTAGCTCCACTGGTTTAGTTTAATTGAATTCTTTATTTTCAATAGGTTGAGATCATGAGTTAATTGAAGCTAGACTAACATGAAAATCACCCAGATCTCAGCGGAGGAAGAAATCAAGAAGAAGTGCTGTAAGTGGATAGGACACATATTGAGAAAAGCAATCAACCGTGTCACAAGACAAGACCTCACATGGAATCCTCAAGGCCAAGGAGGAAGACAAAAGATCACATTACATCGGGAAATGGAGACAGACATGAGAAAAATGAACAAGAATTGGATGGGATTAGAAAAGAAGGCCCAGGTTGGGGAATGCTGGTCGGCGCCCTATGCTCCATTATGAGTAACAGGTGTAAGTAAGTAAGCAAGTGCCATGAAAAACTCGGAAGCACTAGATGGCTATTTCGTTCTATTGTGAGATTCTTCAGCAGTGTGAATCCACGATCCCGCTCGGTGAGATTCAAAGCCAGGACATATAGGTTTTGAAGTGACGCGATATAGAGAAGTGGCCATCCAGTGATTCTAGGCTTTCCATGGCTTTCTAGCTTCAACTGACTCATGATCTCAACTATTGAAATTACTATAATATCCACAAAATCCCATTCTGAATTCTTTATGTTAAATTTTTTATTTAAAGCGATTTCATTGTTATTCTAGACAAAATCAATAATAATTACTTGGAGTAAAAGAGAGAATTTTATTTATTCTATGAACTTCAAACATAGATTCTAGAACAAAAATGTTAACTTGATTGTAAAGTAACCATTTTTTCATGAATTAAACTCTGATGTTATCTAAAATAACAATGAAAGCTTCAATAGACAATCACTTGTGGATTAATTGAATTTCGACTTGAATGCAACTGAATGTTGGTTCTGTATGCTAAAGATCAAGCGTTCGAGTGTGAGACCGGAGACTTTGCGTTCGATCTTCGGTGGTGGGTTCATGGTTGAACATTATTGAGGAGTCTTATACCAGGACGAAACCGCTGTTCAGAGCCTCCATGTCCTCATCGGTTGTTTAGCTTAGATCAATTCGTGAATTTGACTTAATAATAGGGATATTTGACCATTTTGATTATGATAGGTTCACATATTATGGTATACGTTTAGAAGTTCAGTAGGTGTTTAGGAATAAGGCTCTAATATATGCTTAAGTTTTTGCGTTACATTCTTGTTACTTTATTCAACAAAAACAATTGATCAAGCAAATAATTGTAGTTTATTACGCATTAGTTAATAACCTTTAAGTTTTCATACACGACAGGATATATTACAAAACACATAATTTTTACTAAATTACGTCATGAAATTCTTCTCTTCGATTACGTTTATTCAGGAAAGTTTACGTTTGCAAAACTGTAACATGATTACAGCTTTTTAACATATGGAGGATTCTAAGCAAAATAAGGTAGTCCTTTCGATTCTATCAACACCTTCGCAGACCACAACATACCAAAGAAACTTAACTAAAAGGATTCTAGGGTTAGGAAATACATGTTCCAGGAAGCCGAGTCAACGTAAATCATCACTTTTTATAATATATTTATTTTGCATCCTACGTAAAATGTCAATATACTTCCGTCAAACTTCTTCAACTACAACGATGTGAAAACGCTAGAAAAATGAAAGTTCAAAGCTGACAATTAAAACCTTCAAAAGCTTGATATTTATAACTAAATAACTTACCAAAATATTATCCCATCTTTCTGTGAACTGTTCCATAGTATCCATAAGTGTTATCAAATATCTTCAATGGAAGTAAACATATAAATGTATCAAAAATGCTCAAAATAATAACGTGAAACACAATGAAACAAATTCGGGACTATAAAAATATTTTACATTAACATTAACAAAAAATAAACAGAATTTAATACTAAATAACAGAGAATAATGGTAATCTTCTTTTGTTTCGAACGTGGTTATTTATCAAAGAATAAAATTGTATTAAACGAAATCATTCTTAAGAATTAAAAATATTACTGGTCATCTTAACTAGAGTAACAAAAGTATGACTTTGAATATTGTTGAAATTATCATCAGAGTAAAATGTCGATAAGTTTGATTGCTTCTTAGCGGCCTGTTATTTTGGCGCCAATTAAATTTGTATGAATGGTTGCTGTCGAAACATATATGTCGTCAATCCTCGCATATAATCATCGACTTGGATAGTGTTAGTGAATAACAGAATAAAACAGGTCAAATATGAGAATGGATTTTGATGTACGTATATTTTGTGCCCTCTTTGATCTGGACAGACAATTAGACGGACTAAGTGAAGGAAGCGAAGGGAGCGATGCGAATTGACAGGCAGTGGAGAAGACGCGTGAGCCAACTCGATTTAATCAAGCGTTAATTAATTTTACAGCCATATGATGGGTAGAATAAAAAGTGCACACAAATGCACTCATCTAAAAACAATGAAGGTTGATAAGCGAATAATTAACAAGATCAAGATTTGACTCAAGTAGGATGAATGTTCGGGAGCTAGAATAATCTATGTCGGCTTGCATAGCACTACAGTTTTAAGATATGTAAGAAGTAGCGAAGGATAGAGATATTTGAGTGACTTGTAGTGACTTACTTTTATCAAGAGAACGCGACTGGTTTAATGGAAACAATTATTATAACCAATAGTACCACTGATTGTTTTACTGTACTTGTTTGCTTAACTGTAATAAAGACATTCTTTCTTCCGTTGGTTGTGACCTTGCACGAACTTACGTCTGCTCAGTAGTTCCGCTTGTAGTCCTTTGGCACGATCTCAGTATTCTTTCGATACCACGAGATCGCCGACAAATACATCTCGACTACAGCCATCAACTGCCTTCTGATATTTGGCCCACGGGGGATCTTATCGGTTAACTGGCATGTAGTCTTCCTGTAGTAGTGATCATAGTCAACCACGACTCGACGTCACACTACAACTGATGAACGCAAGACTACGAACACTTTTCAATCGCGGTCAAGTCTTCCAAAGAAGCCAATCGCGGTGGGTCTATTACTTATCTCTCCACGTCTGTCGCACATTTTCATATTGATATTTTTCAATATATAATATTCAGGCAACAACTTGAAATGACGGATAACGATAAGAATAGTAATAATATAATAGACTCTGACGTACAGGTTATCCATTTTCGGTCTGTATCTTTTATCCCCCCTTGGTCCGGAAGTTTGGTTCGCGGCACTGGAGTCTCAGTTCGAGACCCGCCGCATTACGAGCCAACGGCAAAAGTGTGCATACGCTCTGAAATCTTTATCAGGGGATCACATTGTCACTGTCCGTGAGGTCTTCCTCAACCTCAATGTGCCTAACGTTTATGATTGCCTCAAGGAGGCGATCCTCAGACATTTCCTCCCATCAAGAGGGGAACGGTTGAGGACATTATTAACACGTCAATCCCTGAGTGATGCTAAGCCGAGCCACCACCTCACGCGCCTGCAGTCTCTTGCAGGATCCACGGCAGTTGATTTCAAAATTGTCAAGGAATTGTGGTTCGAATCGTTACCAGCACAAATCCAACCAACGATCACGGCCCTGACCGAGGATGCACCACTCAACCAGGTGGCCCTCATAGCAGACAAAATACTGGCAAGGACTGGCAACCGAGACAACTAAATAGTTGCCTCGCGTCATGTTCGAACATGGATATCGACGCTAGTTGCTTCCCGGCTCAAGGTGACAGGGGCAGTCGTATTCATACACGTCTTAACTTCCGAGGCCGTTGCGATATACCCGAACCCTACGTCCATCGAGCTAGATCACGCTCTTGGGAAGCCGCAACCACTCACCCAACACGTACATCTTCCAGGCCACGCCAGAAAGCGGCTTTGGAAGCGAGTGTGGGTTGGTGCTGGTTTCACCGCTCCTTCAGGCCCGGTGCCCGTCGTTGCCGAGCCCCATTCTCATACAAGGCGGGAAACTCCCGAGCCGGCGAGTAAATACGGCCGAACTCGCCCGTCCTTCTCTCCATGTTGGCTGCTAATTTTATGTGCACGATTACCGCACGAACGCTAGGTACCTAGTAGATAAAGGTGCCCATGTTTCTGTCGTATCTCTTGGTAAAAGTAAGCCACAAGCTACGACGCTCGGTGTCACCATCTTGAAACACCGACTTCGGTGACTTGGACATGTTCTACGAAAGTCGCTCCAGAAAATTCCACGTCGTGCATTATTTGCCGACGCTGGAACTGGTTGTAAAAAGCGGAGAGGTGGTCAGTATATGACATGGTGTCGTGGTATGAAAGAAAACTGCAAAGGACTGGCTTGTGTTGGTCCTTCACGACTCCTTGGCTGGGGTCCGAGAGATGGTGCGACACAGAGACGTTATCAGATATAGATAAGAATAGAAGCTAGTGGCGATCCTGCTGTAACCTTCTGTTACTTTCTTCATAAAAAGTGGTTGCTTCTTCCTTAACTGAAAGATTTCTTCTGGTTGTACCTTTCTGTTTCCTCCATTATTACTATGATCATTATTATTACACTACCTTACACCGATCTGTTCGTTATTGTTGTCTTTTTCTTTCACGCTTCTTACCTTTTTTTCCTTGTCTTTAAATTCTCATTGTTTTATGTAGCGCATATATATTTGGTGCCCTCTTGTACCAATATTTATGTGTTCAAATAAATAAATAATACAATAAACGACGCTTCGACTACGCGCTACGAATGGCTCAGCCATTCTTACCTATGGTGCACGACAACTCACGGTCAACCTGGGCAACCGACGACAGTATTTGTGGACGTTCATCATTGCCGATGTTCCCACAGCCATACTCGGTATTGATTTCCTACAGCACTACAAATTGCTAATCGATTCACGTAGGCTGCAGCGAATCGATACTTCGTCAAACAGTAAATTCATGGGCTTCAAAGCTCAAAAAAATGCATACCGAATCTTAGTCCTATTTCATTCGCGTGACTATATATTCCACGCTTTATTTGAGAAATTCCCCAAATTAACTAAAGCACTCGAGGAGATTCCATCGGTGACCAATCGTGTGGTACTCCTTTGGCACGATCTTGATATTCTTTCGATACCACAAGATCGCCAACAAATATATCTCACTGCAACTATCAATCGCCTTCTGATTTTTGGTTTACTCGAAGGTTTAGCGGTGGTGATCATAGTCAAACGTGACTTGACGCCACACTACAAACTAAAGATTTAATTTGAATGCAAACATTGTAAATGTAACTTAGAATTAAACAGGACAATCATAAAACAATTTATAGAGATCGATTCAATTAAAAAACATTGGTATTTAGGACTAATATTCATTGAAACACTCAGTAAAACGAGGCAGTAGATGCATAACTACTCATAATAACCAAGCTGATTACCGATTGTGTGATCATTAGCAACTCCATTATAAGATAGAAATTCGTGAATATAAAAAAATTCAAGGTTTAAATAGATTACCATTGATCAAATAGAGTGTACTGATTATAATTAGAAAAAGTCAAATATTGGATTTCATTTTCTTAGTTAAATTATACCATACTCGTTGTATTCTTGTAGATAAATACTAGGATAAAATATTTTCATTATTTTAGCATTTATTAGGCTTGACTACATTTAATTGAATGAATGGCATGAATGTCAACTAAATGAACCATTGTACAGAAGAAGTTCACTATTCTATGATGCTTTTAATGGTTGACTGAACAATATCAAATAGATATAAAACAATATCATTATTCTATTTTATTGCTTCACTTCACAACTGTAAAAATAGATCATTAAATTGAAAAAATAAATAAAGTTCAACTTTGACTAATCATTCATATAACACTACAGATTATTGGTAAAGAAAACAATTAAATAACCGAAACTATCGCTTATTTGCAAAAGATATCAAAATTAAAAACGGATAAAAACAATCGAATTAGTTGATTGTAATAAACTGTTATAACTTGTGACCTGTTAATGTATAACATAAGGATACCGCCAATTAGAGAGCAGTGAATTATCGATCGAACCAGTGAAGCATAAAACCCGTACGAGCAGTCTAGAGAAATTATCGGTCCTGCTACCTGCCTAGCCAAACCAGTTAAATCCAGAACACCAATCTCAGCCTCTGCAATATGAGTCGTTTATTTCAAACATACTCGGTTTATATACCAACCAGACAGACCACACCGTACCACAAAATGTGAAACAACATTTATACAAGAATTAGTCAAATGTGGCTGTGAATGTGGGAGATAGTCATTAACAGATAGGGCGTAATTCAAGAACAGTAAATCGTATAATAATAGTCCATTGGTCAAAACAAAGCTCATAATAATAGGGACATGAATATGAATAGTTTGGTTATTTAACAATTATACGATAAATATATACACATAGTGTTGATCCATAAATGGATCCCAAAGTCACTATTCATTATGCTTATTGGGACATAACATAAATATAATATCTGCAAAATAAATATCAACATTCCATAAGAAACAACAAACGTTTCAGCTAACGATTCATAAATGTATAACTTCTACTTATATTAAAACATCGGTAGACCACTTTCAAATTAATATATGCAAATCTACTTTTGTTTTGTATTCTTTTTATATTATAGAGATAAAAGGTTATTGTAGTTACTTATCACCTTAGACTGACACCAGATATGGAAACATCTAAGCCTAAGTATTGTTTTACTTGAATCATCTCATTGATGTTTTAGGACTGAAATTGATCAGTCTCTTATTGGCATATGTGCATACTGTGCGAATGCATCGATATTGCCTATATTTACAAGCATTATAAGCAAAGGTGGATAGTGGCTAGCAGTGGAATCCAGAACGCGCGTTTCGATTGATCAATTTCAGTCCTAAAACATCAGTGGGAGAATTCAAGTAAAACAATACCAATTGAATTAAACTTCACCCCATCGCACAAGCAAGTGGCTATCAGGACTCAGTAGGTAAGTGGATGACGCGATGGCTTTTGAAGCGAACGGTATTGAGTTCGAGTCCCAGAGTGAACATCAACTCCGAGATGCAGGTACACCCAGCTGACGAGTCCCAAACAGGAAGAAATGCACGTCGTGGATTCCACTGCTAGACACTATCCATCTTTGCTTATAATCTAAGCCTAAGGATCAAATATTTCTTCTCAGTACATAGATCCTAAGTAGATTGATAAATGCTAATGAACACACAATGTATATCAATATAAAACTAGCCTGGAAGGTTATAGAAAGTAACTGTAGATGTTTTATTTTATCTGAATGCTAAACAGTGTTTCCATATGGGCTATTAATATAACATTATAGCTCAAAAGGAATTCATATGATTTACACTTCACAATTACTGATTGGAATTTAGATACCGTAAGTACTATAACACAGCTGACTAGTCAAGTTGGAACTATATTCTAATGTTAATTGACAATTTGCATTAAAAATTTGGTTTATTCACATTATTATGAAATCCATATGTTGACTTATTTTTGCATCAAAGAAGATGAAGTTTCATAGGTTACATCAGTAAATAAGAATATCACTCAAATGAAAATAGTCATTGTGACTGTTCTATTAGTTTTGTTTTACATTCTTAATAAACATTCAACTTACTGTTTATCAGAGTTGTTCATATATCTTTCACTTGATTGAACATTATAGTTTGTTAACCGACGATGTAGTGAAAATTTATCCAAACAAACTGGACTTGTAGAAAATCGTGATAATTCTCTACTAGCTGAACATCCTATTGTATTTCCTATAGGAAATAAATGTGGATGTGTTTGTAGTGTTGGAGAGAATTTATTTGAAAAATTAGAACTACAAGATGGTGATTTTTTTCCTTGTAAAATACCTGACCGTCGATGACGTGATTCATATAAACGTTTAGCCGCATGTTTACGGATAACAAACTAAAAAAAGAACATTTTCATAAGTTCTAATGATACTTTGAATATAGAATCAAGATTACAGACAATGATATATATATGCAAATAAATATTACTAGTTGAAATCATGAGTCAATTGAAGCTGGACCACCATGGAAAACCTGGAAGCACTGCATGGAATCTCGCGGCGGACGGGATCGTGGATCCGCACTAGGACGAAACGGCTGCCCAGTGCTTCCTGGGTTTTCATGGTGGTCTAGCTTCAATTGACTCATGATTTCAACCGGTGAAATTTCTAAAATTTCCACAAATCCCCTTCTGAAAATAAATGTTACACAAAAATTATGATAATTTAGACAAATAATATTCTTAACACAATAATAATTATCTAATGTGCAGTAGTTGAAGATTGTCAGTAATATACAGTATATCTATCTTCCAACCCATTTAACTTCATATGACATAAAATAATCAATATTTTTCATTCAGGTATAATGTTACGGATCTGTCTGGAATTTGATTGATCTCTTACATGGCTTGATTGCCTAGAGAAACTAAGTATTCACTAAATCTGGATATCATCATTTGGTGCTTACTTATAAGCGATCATAAACGGCACGCGTAAAGCGCCTCCTACGCTGTTTGGTTTTTGAAAGGTCACAGATATATCCGAAGTTAATTTTTCTTTATCATTGTAAAGTATACTCTAATAAGAAACTTATGTTTCCAACTGTTTACTAGATCCTTTTTATAAATCAACACTAAATAATGTCACATAACAATTGTTAAGTAAAATCAACTGTATTCTTTGAATGATATAACGTTGAAAAACTATGCATAGATTCTTCTCCTTCTTCTTCTTCTTCTTCGAGGAGTTCCTTTTTTATGACTTCAATAGTATATATAATTAATGATATCCATTAGACTGAAGGTAAAGACATTTTTTGACTTTGTGTGTATATAGCATTGTAGGTGTGTATTGTATTATTTAACAATTCTGTTAATTATTATTTGTTAGTATTTTTAGGAATGTCGGTAGAGTAAATTTCAGTCATACATAGTGTTTAAGGGATAGAAGTATTCGATAGTTTTACTGTGTGTAAGTGAATAAGTGGTTGGTTTAATAACATAACGCTGTCTCAGCAGCAGTAGGTCTCAACATTTACAAAGGGAAAAGCAGAATTCTCCAAAATAACACAGCATGAAACAACAACATAACACTTGATGGAGATTTTGAAGATGTAAAAACATTTACATATCTAGGCAGCATCATTGATGAACACGGTGGATCTGATGCAGATGGGTGATTTGAACAGGGAAACAAGAAGCCCTGACAAACTACGAAAGCTATTTTTCGGGACGTTATTCCATTCTATTCAAAGCTTGTAAAACACTGATATTTAATTTTGTCCATTATCTATTCTACAGAACATAAGCTCTCGTTCGATGTATGATTCATTGCCATACTCCTTTTTGTTCCGAAGTTATTGTAATTGAAACATAATATTTTGCACCCTATTTTCTACTCTAATTCCCAGCTTTGGACAAAATTGTATTTTTCCTAATTATTGCACGTTGTGGTCGGGTTATTCACTTATTTATTCATGTACCTTTTTACAATAATCCGAATTGAAATAGGAATATCGGGAATAGATCGAGTAGTGTTCCAGTTGTCTTCTCTTCTCTTCTCTCATTCGCGTGCTTGTCAGCCAATCAGGTGATATAATAGTTTTCTTCTCTCTACTCCACTTCGAACTCATGCATACTAGCCTCAAGTTTAGGTCGGTCAGCCTATCGCGCCGAGGCCTTAATCTGGATTAGATAAGTATCCTCAGCACCGAAAGTGGGTAGACAGACCAAAGGACATAACAATGGGAAGCGCGGATCGACAAACCTAGAGCAGCATATTTACAATTGAAGAACATCTGGAACTCAAAACAACTTTCAACCAACACCAAATTCAAAATTTTCAATACGAATGTTAAGAAAGTTCTACAGTATGTGGCGGAAACGTAGCGAACTACGAAAACCATCATCCAGGTGATACAAGATTTTATTAACAGTCGTTTACGGAAAATACTTCTGATCCATTGACCAGACACTATTAGCAGCAACCTACTGTGGGAGAGAACAAACCAGATCTCAGCGGAGAAAGAAATGAGGAAGAAGCGCTGGAAGTGGATAGGGCACACATTGAGGAATGCACACAGCTGCATCACAAGGTAAGTCCTCACTTAGAATCCTGAAGGCTAAAGGAGGAGAACAGGAAGACCAATGAACAGATTATTACGAGAAATGGAGACAGACATGAGAAAAATGAACAAAAATTGGAAAGAACTGGAAAGAAAGGCCTGAGACAGGATGAGTTGGAGAATGCTGGTCAGCGGCCTATGCTTTATTGGAAGTAATAGGTGTAAGTAAGTACGTTAATAACTTTACACATAGAAATTATATTCCTCTCTAAATCTACAATACGTATCTCTTAAAATAAGGTGTTAATTTTTAATAATTATTTATGCTGACTGGCTTCAAGAGGTATTTCCTGGAGTTATATTGAGAAGCAGTGACCAGTGCAGTACAACCGGGTCTGTTTATAAGTAGTAAGTCACTGATGACAATGGTGGATGTGTTGTTCAATTCCATAGATTAATTGTAGTTGGATATTACAACCGTTGGTTGCCGACCGACCCAATGGTCTAGACGTTAAGCATTCGCACGCGAGACTGATAGGTCCTCTCGTGAATATAAATCGTGGTCGCGCATTGCTGAGGAGTCCCACAATAGGACAAAACGGCCGTTCAGTGCTCTCAGGTTTTCCATGGTGATCTAGCTTCAATTGATTCATCATATCAACTATTAAATTATTTATGCACATATTGTATAATTTGTATGTCTGTCATTGAATTTTCTCCTTGAATTGAATTCTTCAAGTCAAAATTTTTAGTTACAAAGTATGAATTTATCTAAACATAAGTTATATACTAAAATTCATTGGATATATTATAAATTTTTCATAGTGGCCTAATTGTATTTAATTCTGTTTAAGTACTTTTCTTTAATAGGCACTATCTTATATAAACTGATTATAGAAACAGAATTGATAATAAACCAAATGTTAATGAAATATTCAAACACACTTGATGTTTGTAATGTTTTAATAGAGTTAAAGAAACTTTGATTTATATAACAGACCTTACCGTTGGGTTTTTGAAGAAAAAAAAATGATGATAATTAGATCTAATTGATAGTGGACAATGGATCACTAGAGAAGTTATGAAATCTGCGTGAAACACTTTACCTCCAAAATGCAGTTTACATGTCATTAAATGAATCAGAATGATATTTGAATTCAGTATCATATACACTTTGCTATGGAAAATTCATTTAAGCTATAAACTATAGTCTATCTTTTTAAAAAACACGATTGGAAAACAGTTTTCTTTGTGAATTCCATAAGCTCTTGAAATTTTTTGGGAATAACTAAAAAAGCTATTCAAATGTGTTATTATTAATAAAGATGGATAGTGGCTAGCAGTCGAATCCAGGATTCATGTTTCATCCTACTTGGGACTCGTCAGCCGGATATACCCAAATCACAAATCTGATGTTCACTCTGGCTTTTTGGACTCAGCAGATAAGTGGATAACGCGATGACGTTTGAAGCAAATGGTATTGGATTCGAGTCCCAGAGTGAACATCAAATCTGAGATGCAGGTACATCCAGCTGACAAGTTTGAAATAGGACGAAACACGAGTTCTGGATTCCACTGCTAGCAACTATTCATCTTTGCTTATAAAGCTTGTGACTTAAGGCAATATCGAGGCAGTCCGCACAGTATACCAATAAGAAACTGATCAATTTCAGTCCTAAACTACAATGGAAAGATACAAGCAAACATGATGATGAGTAAAATCTTTGATTAAGGTTAATTTTGCCAAGGAGAAAATAAAGACATTAAAAATCTATTATAAATACAAGGACGTGAATCGTTAGCTCGAATCTTCTAGTTTCTGCGATGTGTAAGAGACGAAATCCAAACGCGCATGCGAAACTAATCAGAAAATGACAAATCACTTCAATTTTATATCTACTAAATCAAATGTTATAGAGCAGGGGTGCGTATTGCTTTGTAACTACCCTCTCCTAACCACGAAAGCAGGTGTTCACTAAGTCTTTGGCTCAGTTATCTGGTTGTGTGTCCACTATAGCTTTCTGAATTTATATTTATACAGAGATATCAGTAAGTGGTTGTGGAGATTGTTGAATTTCACTGAAATCATGAACCAGTCAGTGTTACATGATCATTAAGAACCTAGGACCACCAGATATCCGCTTCGTCATTATATGAGGCTCTTCAGCAGTGCGCATCCATGATCCCTCTGACAGCACTCAAACCCAGAATCTTTGGTCTCGCGCAAATGCTTAACCTCTGGACCACTGAACTGGGATCCATCGGTGCTAATTCACACGGATTTGGCAAAGTAGTTTCGGATATGCATATATATATATATATTACTACATATAAGAGTGAAGCATGGTGAGGATCTAACTGAAAACAATACCGTTCGCATATATATATCGTTCTAATTAACAAAGAGATGTGCCTACATTCGTTAAGTAATTTGATTAAGATAAAAACAACTGTAAACCTTAAGTCATATAATTCTCTTAAAATGGTAATCCAGTGACAAAGCTCTTAGTATTTTAGTTTATCAGTACTGGATTTCAATCTCACTTAGAATATCAGCATAGTTATATGTATGTGTTTACTTAGTGTAGTTCAAATAGAATGAAATATGCCTCCTATATTCTTTTTTATACAGTAAAATATGCTACATTTAATTTTTGTCAGTAAACAGCATATTTTTTTTATTAAGTTTACAGTAGTTTTTGGAAATAGTTATCTCTTGATTATACTACTGAATAGTAGTATTAAAAATCAATTTTATGAAGACTGCGAATAGTTGTTTAATGACTTTGACATGTACCATGGTTGGGGAGAAGTTAGGGGTGGCCAAATTGAAACGTGGCATCAGTGCTTGAAGTCACTGACTTCTGGTCTTAGCCATGTCGGTAAATGTAGACTACTAGGTTGGGTTCCGCAGGACTATCGTAGGCAATGGTTGGAGACTGTGGGTAACACCGCTCAGAACCGATCACAATGGCGTCGGTGTATATAATTTTTTATTATTGAATACGTTTTGATAGCAAATGGTAAATGTAACGAAATAAATAATCTGATAAAAAACCCAATATTACCTCAGCTTCTGGATGATCTTTCAATGCCTTTAATATATCATCACGTGCTAGAACAAATAATTCAGCATATCCAACAGCACGCACATCAGCAGTTCGTCTAAAACGATAAAGAAAGGAATTAAATTTTAATCATCAGAGTTTATGTTTGTCATGTGAAAGCTAAATGTCATGAGTTCTATATCGATTAAGATCTTGAGTGTAAACTACTAAAAATGGTCAGAGAAAAATTATTTTAAGTCGTACACGTTTCCAAGTTGTTCTCCTGCTGGTGTTTTAAATAAGTAATTTGGTTAGCGAGGATTATAGGTATTTGATATTCAACTACCAAACCAATTGTTCGAAACCATCACTTTAATTCATTTGGATAGTCATATAGTATTTTACTCTGTCATAATAAACCTACATTCTAAAGTGACGACTTGTTGTAAGATTCAGGACAAGCGCTTTATCGCATTCAAAAACAAGTTCGTACTTGCATTTTAAAGTTATTGTAGGTACCGAGGTTTAAACCTACTGTCCTTCTCTTTAAATTCCAAGATGTTATTTATAAGCTATTGAGTTCAGATAGCCACTGACTTGTTTAACGGTTACTATCCCTTGGAAAAAGTAGCCCAGGATAGAGTTCTTTGGAGAATCCTCATCGGTGGTTTATACTCCATGATAGTTAACAAGTATAAGTCAATCAATAATTATTTCACTAAATATGGGAGAATATTTATACAACTAATTTAATCAAACAAACGTAAATAAGACGTTTGCAATTACTAGAAGGAAGCAAATTAAATAATTCATATAAATACGTTGAGCTCACCTATTTATCCCATCCAAATTTAATACACCAATTTCACCAAAAAAATCACCTGGACCCATTGTAGAAAGAACTTCACTCTCTTCACTATTGAAAAAATATCAGGCGAAACAAACAAAAATGAGAGACAGTATTTTCTAAAAGTAAACTTTATTGATAAGAAAATGTAAGAGATACATTTTATTCTTCGAAAATTAAAATTTCTAGACAGTTTGTAAAACAAACTTGGTCGATAGGACTCGATATGCACTAAGAAGCACCTGGCATGCATCACATCGATCGTCACCCAGTAATCAATCAATTGTTAATACATCGCAGTCCTACAAGGGGTCAGTTGCGGCCCGGATAGCTCAGTGGTAAAGTCTCTAACTATGAAGCTGGGTGACATAAGATCGAATCCGTCAAGCATCATGCTGACGAGTGCCAAGTAGCACAAAAATCAGGTTCAGGGTTTCCTGTTGACTACATACAACCATCATCGTAAAACAAACGGTTATATATTCTTACCATGAGGATTTGTAACAGATCCTAAGTGTTTATCTCAGTTGAGAATAGTTTATTAAGATGAACGTAATAAGAAAATTTTCCGACTAAATAGTTGAAAAGATGTAAGATTGTGAGAGCATTCTGGAACTGGTGAAAACGCATTAAATATATCATTTAAATTTAAGGCTATTTGAACTAGACGGTATAAAAAGTGTAACATATAAGCACTTATGAAAGTAAGTTTGAAATAGCTTAACAATATGCACTAATCACAAAACAAAAAGTTCAATTCATAATGTTCAGACTTTAGAAATAATGCCATCTAATGTTTGGGTTATGATCTACTGGCCTATATTTCTTGCTTGCAACAATATGTGATAACTAACAAATGTCATCTACTCCATGTAAGGCTACAGACTCAAATTATCAAAAAGAGAACTTAAATACTACAAAGTAGCTGTATAGTTTACTGTGATCATTATTGATGCTCAAATTATCATCCATTTCTGATGTAAATCACTGTCGCTACAAAACGGTCTTATGAGAGGTAAATTACAGGTTCATTTTAGGTTTTCGTTTTTTCCAAGTTATCACCAAAGTGAGAATCTTCAATACGAACGTCAAGACAGTTCTACTGTATGGAGTTGAAACTATGATAAATACTACAACCATCAAGAAAAAGGTACAAGTATTTCTAAGCAGTTACCTACACAAGATACTGAATGTCCGTTGACCGGATATCATCAGCAACAACCTACTATGAGAGAGAACAAATTACGTTCCAGCTGAGGAGGAAATTTTGAAAATACGTTGGAAGTGGATACAACACGAATCACAGAAATCATCAAACTTTATCACGAAGTAAGCCCTAATTTGGAATCCAGAAGGGGAAAAAGGATGAGGAAGACCGAAGAGCAAATTGTACTGAGAATTGAAAGCAGACATCAAAAGGATGAGTAGCCACTGTAAAGAATTGGAAAGTATTTTCCAGGTCAGAATTTGATGAACAATGCTGATAGTTGGTCCATACTATTCAAAGAGGGATAACAGGCGTAAGTAAGTACTTGTTTTCGATTTCTTATTTGTTCAAGAACTTCGGTTAAGTCTATTATAATTACCAAATTTACACATTTCACAAAGACTAGACATTGTTTTTTATAAAATGTTTCAGATAGCTGAAGCTATTTTTATCAATTTACATACATTCTTAAGTAACCTTTCACTCTGAAAAAAACTTCTATGGAATTTATTACGTCACTGTTAATCTACTAAATATCAACTAATTGTGGTTAAAAGAGGTCAACACATTAAATATAGCTTTAAGAGAATGTTGGTTACCAATAACAGCTAAATTCACATTAAGTTATGATAGGAGACTGAATAAGCCCAATATTGCGATTTCTGCTTCATTGTTTTTTCTGTGAGAAACCTTCGTAATGCTTATCCTCAATCATTTGCTTGTTAAATGGCATCTAACCTAGTTCGTTATGTATCTGATAATTAATGTGTATTTTGTTTTTGTACTTAATATATTTGAGTGACTATGTCAAAAATTTCATCTCCTGAGTGCTTGTCATCCAACCACTTAATATTGTTGAACATCATTTATTGAATGAAATACCACTTATTTCCCCATAACATCCATAACCTATGATATAATCAGTTCAAGTTGTTATATATATGATTGTACAGTTTTGAAAAGGTACACTTAGAAAGGGATTTCCGCTGTAATAAATAACACTGCATTATGACTTCGGGAATATGTCTAAATTAAAATGAATCCTTATTTTTTCCTAAGACACGAAAAGAACATTTCAACGAAATTATTCAATTTTTTCAGGACCATTTTATTTTCAGTACTTGTATTTACATACAATAACTGAATTCATGAGTCAATTGAAGCTAGACCACCATGGAAAACCTGGAAGCACTGTATTCATATATCTTTCATTAAAAAAAAACACCCTGAATTTTTACTACTCACTTAGTTACTGTACTGAATATTTTTTATATTGTAAATAAATGGATACTGTAGTGTCAGTCATCATTTTAAGCCCATATATCTTATTCTAGCTTTCGGACATTCCATTCTATTCATTCTAATTGAGTCATATTTTGACCTTGTCAATTATTCGCTTATCAGTATTGACTGTTTTTATACGAGCGTATATGTGTGTGCCCTTCTTATTCCATTAATCACAAGTCTGTTGCTTTATTTTATCTGACTATAAATATTGAGTAACGCTTGACTAAAATGGAGTTGGCTTCCCAGCCATCTTCCCTACGTGTCGTTTTGCTTTGCTCTGTTTCATTCGCTTCATATACAAAATATATGTATGCACAGGTCGATTCTCGTTATTTGACTTATTTAATTCCGTTATTGGATAACGTGATTTAAGTCGACAATTATGTACGAGAATAGGCGATAACAAACATTCGTACGATCTAAATAGGAGTCAGATCCACGGGCCACTAAAATGGTGAGCCCTTCAACGAATATCGTCGATCTAAATGACGACAAAATCAAACAACGTGCCCCAATAATACTATTCACTGAAATATTTATTTAAATTAAAAAATTAACCTCCAGAAAGTTACCTTTACTCACACATCTTTGTATTGTTATTATTATTATTTTTTTAATATTGGTTTAACATCATTATTAGTCTCCTGAATACATGACTCACAAACTTAGCATCCACCACACTTTATTATTTCTCACTAATTTCATATAAAACTTTTATCATCATGTGGATTTGTGGACATTGTAGTATTTTAGCAGTTGCATTCACGATCCAATCTATACTAGACCATCACTGGCAAACCTTGAAGCATTGGAAAACCGTTTTGTCCTAATGTGGGACTCCTCAACAGGTTGGCGCGACACCATGAATCGATTGGAGTTAGGCATTAATACCGTTGAATGCCGGTTCAGTGGTCTAGCGGCCGAAAGTCCCTTGTTCTAGTCCCACATGCGGGATCGTGGATGTGCGCTGATAAGGAATCCTATACTTGTATGAAACAGCCATCCAGTGATTCCGCATTTTCAATGGGGGTTTAGCCTAGATTGACTCGTGAATTCAACTAATAAAAGTTCTAATAAATATAGTTTACCACTAAACATTCGATAAAATTTGTAATTGCAATGTTATTTCTCAAACTTCATCTGACACACATTTATTCTGATCATGAAGCCTATAATTCCACTTGAAGTATAAGTTGATTTAAGTCAAATTTAAAAATTTTTAAATCAAAATTTACATATATCATATTTAAACAGTTATGTTCAATCCTCAGAACGGGAATCAAGATGTTTCATTTCAGTGCTACAATGCAGAGACAACTGTTTTCAATATATAACACTCTGTAGTTATACTAAACTAATTTTCATCAAACTACAAGAATAATTATATTGATATAAGAAGACAATAGCCAGGAGGAAGGTGTATTTATTGCAAGAAGTTATAAATTATTTACATAACACACATACATAACCTTCAATCGTCCATTTTTATCTTTCGATGTGTTCTGTAATCAGAACTGTCTTCTAAACTGGCCTACAAGTGTTCTGTCATCAACGTACTTTCGATGCACTGAAACTTTTGACTCTATCTGACAATTTTTGCAACTCTGATGTCACGTTCTGCTACCCACTACTTACAAACAGCTTTATGAGTAACATCCACTACAATGACAATCTGTTCCTTCATTGATAAAATGATCCAAATGAACTCTTATTATTGTGATATGACTAAAAAAGGTTTCGATATTTCTTTGAGCGAGTTATGTGGATTTCATTATGACTTCACTCTTCATCATCATAATTTTATCTTCTTTCTTATTAATGTGTGACTTTTGCTTTTGTATTTTTAATATATGTATATATATTGATTGAGATCATGAACCGATTGATGTTGGACCCCTAAACAAATAATTACCATGTGCTCACTAGTGACTAGCTTCGTGAGAAAATTCTCGGAGTTCTGGTGAGAAGCCGTGACTAGTGGAGCTATTCTATGTCGGGTAGAAACAGGTGTCTACCTCAGTACAATGGAAGATGGTGGCGCAATTTCGTGGATTGGTTGAGGTTAGACATTAACACCGTTGGATACCGGCTCAGTGGTCTGGTTGGTTAAGCACTTGGCGCGAGACTAATAGATCCTGGGTTCGAATGTCGCGGCATGCGGCATCGTAGATGCGCACTGCTGAGGAATCCCATAATAGGAAGAAACGGCCGTCCAGTGCTTCCACATTTTCAATGGTGGTCTAACATAAATCAGTTCATGATCTAGATCAAAAACTCAACAATCTCCACAATTCCTAAACTGACATATATATATTATTATCAGAAGGTGTTTTGTGGAGATTTTCGTTATTTCAATAATTGAAATCATGATTCAGTTGAAGCTAGACCATCGTGGAAAACCTGGAAGCATTCGACGGCCGTTTCGTCCTGGTCTGAGACTCTTCTACAGTGCACATCCACGATCCCGCGTCCCGCAAGATTCGAACCCAGGACCCAACAGTCTCTCACGTGAGTGTTTAAACTTTCGACTCATGATTTATATATATATAT